CATTTATATAAAATATCCAGAATAGGAAAATCTAAAATCTATACAGAAAGTAGATTAGTCTTTGTCTAGGGCTGGGGATGGAAGGATGGAGGGAGACAGAGTGCCTGCTAATGGGTACAGGGTTTCTTTTTGGGAGGCCAAAATGTTCTAAAATTAGATGGTTGCATAACCCTTTAACATATACTAAAAATACTAAAAAATATGAATTGTATATTTTACATGGGTGAATTATATGGTATGTGAATTATATCTTTTTTTAAAAAGCTGTTAAAAAATGAATATTAGGGCCACCTGGGTGGCTCAGTTGGTTAAGCATCTGCCTTTGGCTCAGGTCATATGATCTCAGGGGCCTGGGATCGAGCCCCCACATCAGGCTCCCTGCTCAGCAGGGAGTTTGCTTCTCCCTCTCCTTCTGTCCCTCCCCCTGCTCGTGCTTGCTCTCTCTCTCTCTTAAATAGATAAATAAAATCTTTAAAAAAATGAATATTATTTGGGGCACCCTGATGGCTCAGTTGGTTGAGCATCTGACTCTTGATTTTGGCTCAGGTCATGATCTCAGGGTCATGAGATCAAGCCCTGCATCAGGCTCAGCATGGAGTTGGCTTGAGTTTCTGTCCCTCTGCCCCTCCTCCCTGGGGTGTGCACTTTCTCTCTCTCTCTCTCTCTCAAATAAGTACATAAATTTTTTTAAAAAATGAATATTATTCTGCTATATCAACATCCAGTTTGGGCTACTGTTCTTAAACACTACCACATAAGAAATACCCACTTCTGTAACCCACGCTGAAATGATCTGTTTTCATAGCACTTCCTGCCTCAGGTAGGGCAAAGATCTTTATATCTCCAATATCTGGCACAGCTCCTGGTACTTACTAGCCACCCAAATATTTATTGAACTGAAATAACAGCAGTATTGCAATGAGTTTAAGAGGGGAAAAGTTAGCCAGTTATTATTTTCAAAGACTTAGGGCTTCCTCTACCCCCATCCTTTCCCCATCCCATATGCATATCATAGCAACAGTACTATCTGCTTTACTATTTACAAAGCATTCACTACTGCCTTTACTCATTTAAATCTAAAAATAACCTCGTGAAGTCAGTGTGATGGTTACAGCCATTTTACAGGTAAGAAAACTGACTCAGAAGGGTTAATCTCTAGTCACCCTAGGACACTGCTAGACTTGAAAGCCAGGGCCTTTCCACTGGACAGTACAGCCCCTTACATCCCTACGTTCATAATAAGGCCCTTGGCCATTGGCAGCATGCTAGAATCACAGAGTGAGCCAACTATAGATGCTTTACAAGCCTCTGGGTTTGTTTCATTTCAAAGTCGAAGATAAATTATCCTTTTGGTCACCCATTGTTATTAGACTGGCAGTTTTCTGGCTTGAGCAGTCAAGAGTTAAACTTACCAGTAGAGGTATAAAATAAAAGTCAGCAGTCGGTTTTTCTCAATCCCTGTGTTTTGTTGCAAACATCTCTGGAGGTAAGAAAAATTGATTCCTATGATCAAAATGCTGGGTCATGCTGTGCCCACAATTTTATTCATTTTGTTCTGAAGAAATGGGTAATAAGCCCATTTGCTTGCTGTTCCCTGTGGCTGAGCTAGTTCGGCTGCACAGCAGTTGGAGAAATCCAATTCAGCAGACATTTATTGATGTGCCTTCCATGTGCCAGGCACTGCACGAGGAGCTGGAGATACAGGGATGAATAAGCCCCAGTCCTTGTTCTCAGAGAGTCCAGAGTATTTTCCAGGCCCTTTAATCAGGACATGCAGATGCTCTTTGGGGGAGGCTTTGGATTAGTTTGCTTTTACATTTTGGTAAAATACAACCACTCTTAGAAAGTTACTGTCTAAAATGTAAGAACTCCTTGTTGAATGTACAAGAAGAAGAAAAATGACACACATTTAGAACTCAACAGTGATACAAACTGATCTTTCACGTCAGAGCCAGCCATGTTAGGTTCAGAGTTGGATGACATTTTATCCCTTCCAAGATTGATAGAATCCATTTATAGGCCCTAAATAAAAGCCTAAGGATTTACACGATTGAAAATTAACCTGGCTTCCTCTCCATGCATATTTGCCAAGTTGGCACGTCTGTGCACTCCATGCATCTATTTAAAAAGGCTAGAAGTAATATGCCAACATTATGGAAGTGAAGGAAATGAAGGAAAACTGCAAAGTAGAGTAATACTAGTCACTGAAAATGTCACTACCTTGATACCAGAGGTGGCTGGACCCGTGCACCTCAATCTCCTCATCTATCAAATTGGGACTACTTAATACCTTCTTTAGGAGGCTTTGCCAGGACTAAACAAGATAACAGCGTAAAGCGCACACACTCCCCAAAAAGCCCACAATAAATGTGTACTTATGAGAGCAAAAACATTTTTATGTAATCTTTTTGTCTCATTTTTCCTCTTTTTATACCAAGTTTTCTCATTGTACTTTTGTGTCTTAGTTTCTTACTATTATATGATCATTTTCCATCTTGCTGTGTATGATTATTGGAATTTTTAATGGTTGCACACTCTTCCACGGTGGGATATGGGAGTACTACTGTAACTTATCCATTCCTCTGCTGTTGGACGTTTGGGCTGCTTCCAGTGTTTCAGTATTATAAATAGTGCCTCAGTGAACAGTTGTATGTATGCAGTATATTCACCTACTTACTGGGGAATCTCAGGTAGGTGGCTTCATCTCCGTCTTTGTTGCCCTGATGCTAAATGGGGATAGAATAGTATCTCTCTGAGAGGACAGAGATGTGTGGATTCAATTAATACAGCAAAGCACTTGAAGCAGTGCCTGGCACTTACCAGATGCTCAGCGAACATTACCTCAGGACCTCTGTTTGGGTCTGTTTCTTTAAGCTGGAAATGGGGTGGTTTCATTTACTGCTTTCCAAAGGATTTTACCAGTATTATGTGAAAGAACCAATTTCTCTAAACCCTCTCTAGCAGTCATCCCAGAATTTAACTATATAACTCTCTTTCCCTTTAAAATAATAGTGAAAAGGGGCGCCTGGGTGGCTCAGTCGGCTAAGCAGCTGCCTTCAGCTCAAGTCATGGTCTCGGGGTCCTGGAATCAAGCCCTGCATTGGGCTCTCTGCTCAGCAGGGAGTCTGCTTCTCCCTCTGCTGTTCCCCCCACTTGTGCTCTCTGGCTCTTTCTCTCTGTCAAATAAATAAAATCTTTAAAAAAATAAAATAGGGACACCTGGGTGGCTCAGTTAGTTAAGTGGCTGCCTTTGGCTCAGGTCATGGGTCCTGGATCCCAGGGTCCTGGGATCGAGCTCATCAGGCTCCTTGCTGAGCAAGGAGCCTGCTTCTCCCTCTGCCTGCCACTCCCCCAGCTTGTGCTCGCACTCTCTCTCTCTGGCAAATAAATAAATAATAAAATCTTTAAAAAAATAAAAAATAAAATAATAGTGAAAAAATAAGTTCATCCATATTGGGGCAGCTTGTTATGACTGGAACTCACTTCTCCTCACTTCCCTGAACAAACCTCATGTCACAAACGTTGGGTTCCAGAGGCTCTTTGTAAGTTTGTTTTCCTGAAGCTTGCAGTCCCCAGCTGCTTTCCACAAAACTAGTATAAGTTGGTTCTCTGAATCTTCAAAACCCAGCATATTTTATTCCTTACTGAAGCATAGTAAAGATACTATTGGGTAATCTGTATTTTTTCCAAAACAGAACAACAGTTTGGTCTAGTAATACCTGTTGTGGCGCATAATAATTTCAATGGTTCCCTCTCCTGCCTATGCCACCCCCTCCAAGAAAATTAATTGGCAAGGTAACCATATGTTTGGGTTTGCCCAGTTTTTACTCATCCTGGTATAATTATTCATCATGCCCACCTCACCCTCAAAAGCGACCTCTAGTTCAAATGATGAATTACACTGTCACCTGATGCCCAGGAATTTGTCAGTATCTGGGGTACCTGCCTACACTTGCTACCTCACTGCTTTCCTGGATGACTTTCTAACTGTCCAAGAAAGGTTTCAGTCACAGTGCTTTCGCCAGCCTTCACCTGGGAGGCCCTCACACGCGCCCGGCCTTTTTTGAACACACATTAGCCCAGTAGGCATTCCCTCAAGTTTGCACATTTCATCATCTTTTTCCCTCTGCGACTTGCTGATCGTTGTCAATGGCATAAGCAGGCCAGGGCACCTCAAATTTGTATCAGCATGGCTCTTTGTCCTTCAGAACTGTTTATTCTGCAGCTCAGTCCATCTCTTAGGCAAATGTAACGTTCCTCATTTCTTGCGGCTTGCAATGTAACAAATGGTATCTGCTTTCAGGAAGTTCCTCTTAAATGTAAACCTCATCTTACTAGGACTCTTTTTTTTTTTTTTAAAGATTTTATTTATTTGACAGAGACAGCGAGAGAGGGAACCACAAGCAGGGGGAGTGGGAGAGGGAGAAGCAGGCTCCCCACCGAGCAGGGAGCCCGATGCAGGGCTCGATCCCAGGACTCTGGGATCATGACCTGAGCCGCTTAACACTCGCCGCTCTTGCACTTATCAGATGTGATAAAGTTCTTTATATTCATAAAGTACCGCAAAAGCCCTTGCACAAACACAGCAAAGAGGTCCAAGCTGAGTAAGCAGTAGCAAGGGCATGTCTAAGGTGACATACAGCACCCAGGTCCATGATTGGTCACAGAGTTTTGCTCACAGGATGAAAGATTGTAAGAATAGGTGCTTCTGCATTGGAAAAACAAAAACAAATCAGCTTCTCGATGATTACCTTTTGCACTTAGGTAACTGCATTTTAACTGGCATCAAGGGCTTTAGGATTTGAGAGGCTCTGTTTTCCCCTAAACTAGTGCCTGCATTCCTTGGGTAATATATTCACAGTTTTAAAGAAGAAAAACCAATGTTTTGAATGTGGGATGATGCCGTCTTGAACTAGCATAGGATGAACGTGGGGCTGTAGTTTATAGGTCAGGATGTGGACTCTCAATGGAAAATTTGTTTTTCCATTTGTTTTAACCAGGCGACTTTCGGATGGTGGTTGGAGAGGATAAGACAAAAGTGCTGAATATTGTGAAGCCCAACATAGCCCACTTTCGTGAGCTCTATGGCAACATACTGCAGGAGAATCCCCAAGTGGTGTATAAGATCCAGCAAGGCAGACTGGAGGTAAACTGTATGTGGGAAATAATTTATGGTGTTTCTAAGGCACGAGCTATTTTAAGAGGAAGAAGTAAGGGTTAGAGCAATATGACTAGTGTGATAACATTTACAGTTCAAAAAGTAGGTTTCAAACGTAAACATACTGGTCTACGTATTTGGAATAAAGCTAAAAGGTAACATAAGAGACTAGTAGTAAGAGGCCACCTTTGGGAAAGGGAACCTGAGGCTGATGTGGGAGAGGGACCTGTCTTTACCATGTGTATCTTTTTTGCCTTTTGAAATTATTTTGTGTTCTAGTTACCAATCAAAACCAAGTGAAAATAAATTCTCAAATTTGGCATCTTCGTCCCCAATCCCACTTGCTTCCCCAGACGTAACCTTACTGACAGTTTAGCATATATTCTCCCAGATCTCTTTTTGTGTGCATTTTTGTGTTTATTTGTACATATACACATGTATGAAGAAGTTTGGTCTTTTATTTTTTATTGTTATGTTAATCACCGTACATTACATCATTAGTTCTTGATGTAGTGTTCCATGATTCATTGTGCATAACACCCAGTGCTCCACGCAGAACGTGCCCTCCTTAATACCTATCACCAGGCTAACCCATCCCCCCCACCCCCCTCCCCTCTAGAACCCTCAGTTTGTTTTTCAGAGTCCATCGTCTCTCATGGTTCGTCTCCCCCTCCGACTTACTCCCCTTCATTCTTCCCCTCCTGCTATCTTCTTCTTTTTCTTTTTTTTTTTCTTAACATATCTTGCATTATTTGTTTCAGAAGTACAGATCTGTGATTCAACAGTCTTGCACAATTCGCAGCACTCACCATAGCACATACCCTTCCCAATGTCTATCACCCAGCCACCCCATCCCTCCCACCCCCCACCACTTGGCAACACTCAGTTTGTTTCCTGAGATTAAGAATTCCTCATATCAGTGAGGTCATATGATACATGTCTTTCTCTGATTGACTTATTTCACTCAGCATAACACCCTCCAGTTCCATCCACGTCGTTGCAAATGGCAAGATCTCGTTCCTTTTGATGGCTGCATAATATTCCATTGTGTATATATACCACCTCTTCTTTATCCATTCATCTGTCGATGGACATCTTGGCTCTTTCCACAGTTTGGCTATTGTGGACATTGCTGCTATAAACATTGGGGTGCACGTACCCCTTTGGATCCCTATATTTGTATCTTTGTGGTTAAATACCCAGTAGTGCAATTGCTGGATCATATGGTAGCTCTATTTTCAACTGTTTGAGGAACCTCCAAACTGTTTTCCAGAGTGGCTGCACCAGCTTGCATTCCCACCAACAGTGTAGGAGGGTTCCCCTTTCTCCGCATCCCCGCCAACATCTGTCGTTTCCTGACTTGTTAATTTTAGCCATTCTGACGGGTGTGAGGTGGTATCTCATGGAGGTTTTGATTTGGATTTCCCTGATGCCGAGCGATGTTGAACACTTCTTCATGTGCCTGTTGGCCATTTGGATGTCTTCTTTGGAAAAATGTCTGTTCATGTCTTCTGCCCATTTCTTGATTGGATTATTTGTTCTTTGGGTGTTGAGTTTGATAAGTTCTTTATAGATTTTGGATACTAGCGCTTTATCTGATATGTCATTTGCAAATATCTTCTCCCATTCTGTCGGTTGTCTTTCGGTTTTGTGGACTGTTTCTTTTGCTGTGCAAAAGCTTTTTATCTTGATGAAATCCCAATAGTTCATTTTTGCCCTTGCTTCCCTTGCCTTTGGTGATGTTTCTAGGAAGAAGTTGCTGTGGCTGAGGTCGAAGAGGTTGCTACCTGTGTTCTCCTTTAGGATTTTGATGGACTCCTGTTCACGTTTAGGTCTTTCAACCATTTGGAGTCTATTTTTGTGTGTGGTGTAAGGAAGTGGTCCAGTTTCATTCTTCTGCATGTGGCTGTCCAATTTTCCCAACACCATTTGTTGAAGAGACTGTCTTTTTTCCATTGGACATTCTTTCCTGCTTTGTCAAAGATAAGTTGACCATAGAGTTGAGGGTCCATTTCTGGGCTCTCGATTCTGTTCCATTGATCTATGTGTCTGTTTTTGTGCCAGGACCATACTGTCTTGATGATGACAGCTTTGTAATAGAGCTGGAAGTCTGGAATTGTGATGCCGCCAGCTTTGCTTTTCTTTTTCAGTATTCCTCTGGCTATTCTGGGTCTCTTCTGGTTCCATACAAATTTTAGATTATTTGTTCCATTTCTTTGAAAAAAGTGGATGGTATTTTGATGGGGATTGTATTGAATGTGTAGATTGCTGTAGGTAGCATTGACATCTTCACAATGTTTGTTCTTCCAATCCATGAGCATGGAACGTTTTTCTCTTTCTTTGTGTCTTCTTCAATTTCTTTCATGAGTATTTTATAGTTTTCTGAGCACAGATCCTTTGCCTCTTTGGTTAAATTTATTCCTAGGTATCTTATGGTTTTGGGTGCAATTGTAAATGGGATCGACTCCTTAATTTCTCTCTCTTCTGTCTTGTTGGTGTATAGGAATGTCACTGATTTCTGTGCATTGATTTTATATCCTGCTACTTTACTGAATTCCTGTATGAGTTCTAGCAGTTTTGGGGTGGAGTCTTTTGGGTTTTCCACATACAGTATCATATCATCGAAGTTTGGTCTTTTTTTGTTTGGTTTTGTTCTATATAAATAGACTTTTACACATAGTATTCTGACGCTTATTTTTTTCCTCACTTGTTTATTATGTTTATTATGTCTTGGCTTTCCTTTTGTTATATTAAATGGAACTTTCTTTCCAGGTATCTTTAAAAATGATATTATTATTTGAAAATAAATATTAAATAAATGTTAAAGGACTTTTCCTTTGAGAAAGTAATTTGAATTTAAGATTTTTTTAAAATTCGAGGCGCCTGGGCGCCTCAGTTGTTGGGTGTCTGCCTTTGGTTCAGGTCCTGATCCTGGGGTCTTGGGATCGAGCCCCGCATCGGGCTTCATGCTTGGCGGGAAGCCTGCTTCTCCCTCTCCCGCTCCCCCTGCTTATGCTGTCTCTCTCTCTCTCTCTCTCTGTCAAATAAATAAATAAAATCTTAAAAAAAAAAAAAGATTTTTTAAAACTCTAGAAACCACAGAGTTGTTTTTTTATGTATTTTACTTTTTAAATGCTCTTCCTCTTCCAAATAATAGGGGCAATTAATATTATTTTGAATATAGAATTAAGGGAATTTCTACAACTAAAAGGGAACTTTGAAAAAAAAAAAAGAATTATTTTAAACAAAAAAAAAGAGTAACATGAAATGCCCGAATACCCACCAGTCAGTTGAACGAATTTTGCAAGTTTTTTTACTTTTTTACATGCATGCACGTGGTTTAAAAACCAAACGGGACCTCAAGGTTTATAACAAAAAGTAGCAATTCTGTGCTTGGCACCTTCTTGCTTCTCAGTGCTACTTTCCAGAGGCCACTGCTTTCATCTCGTTAGCGGGTCCTGTGTTTACCTCCCTGTTTCTAAACAATATAATCTGACTGTGATTTCTTGATTTTTTTTTCTCTTTCATACTTTATTTTTGTCCTCCATCTATGGAAGATGAGGATTTTTTCTCTCTCTTGTCACTCCCACCAACATGCACGCACGTTTGCACACTTGCACACACACACACACACACTGCCCTTCCTGCCTCATTCCCTCTTGCTCCACATACAGTGATTTCATAATTTTTGGTTAGGTTAATATTCACTCTTTACATTATTATGAAACTTACTTTTTCTTCATTGCTGAGGTATATTTGAAATTTCCTTTCCTGTACAAATTTGTTTTTCTTGGAGTTAATAATTATCTCATTTTCTTCATTTGCTTGATTTCCTTTGTTCCTGTCACTAATTCATACCCTCTTAAAAATCTGTATAGCTTCTCTCATCATACACCAACACCTCAGGTATTTTCTGTGTCTTATTTTTCTTGGGGACGTTTCTTCCTGGAGCCCCATGTGCCCTGTTCTTTCTGGACTGGTTGTTTTCTAGGCTTGTGGCACGGCTGTTCTCCTGGAGCATCTTTTCATTATTACCCTGAGGGTTCTTTCTGCCTCTCTCCTTTGCTAGGTTTTGATTTTCTGCATCTTTTATCTTCCTTTTGCATGGCTACACTTTAATTTATAGTGAAATATACCTTTTAGTACCTCTCTAACATAGGTTGCGAGGAAGGTACATTTTTTGAGACCGTGTACATCTGAACATTCTATCCTTGCACTGATTGATAGTTTGGGCTACATAACACATTCTAGATTGGAAATAATTTTCCCTCAGACTTTTTAAGACATAGCATCATTTCTCCTCGTTTCTAAGTGTTGTGTTTCAAAGTCCAGTGAGGTACATTTTTTGAGACCATATACATCTGAACATTCTACCCTTGCACTGATAGATAGTTTGGGCTGCATATCACATTCTAGGTTGGAAATAATTTTCCCTCAGACTTTTTAAGTCATAGTATCATTTCTTCTAGTTTCTAAGTGTTGTGTTTAAAAGTCCTGGGTGGCTCAGTCAATTAAGCGTCTGTCTTTGGCTCAGGTCATGATCTCAGTGTCCTGGGATCAAGCCGCGTGTTGGGCTTTCTGCTCAGTGGTGAGTCTGCTTTCCCTCTCCCTCTGTGATCTCTCTCACTCTCAGTCTCTCTCAAATAAATTAAAAAATAATAATAATAAAAGTGCAGTGACATTCAGATTGCTGTCCTTTGGGGGCATCTGGATGGCTCAGTCGTTGGGCGTCTGCCTTCGGCTCAGGTCATGATCCCAGGGTCCTGGGATCGAGCCCCTCATCGGGCTCCCTGCTTAGTGGGAAGTCTGCTTCTCCCTCTCTCACTCCCCCTGCTTGTGTTCACTCTCTCACTGTGTCTCTCTCTGTCAAATAAATAAAATCTTTAAAAATAAATAAATAAAATTAAAAGAGAAAAGATTGCTATCCTTTGGATGTGACCTTTTAGCTCTAGGACAGTGTTTAGGATCTTTTCCCTTTTTCCAGTCTT